TCAAAAGCAAGGCAAAGTTACATGCCCCAAGATTATACCGAAACTTTCTAAAACCCAAAAATTGACGAGCATTTGATTCCACCATGTCATGAAACATATTATTATCATCACTTAGAAAATAAATCAACAAACAAGACAAACTTTCACCTGCTCGCTTCTTTTATCAGCTCGATAGCAATGCAGATCCTCTTGACGAGGAACACAAAGAGAAGGAGGAGAATGAGTGTGACGGTGGCCAGCGTGCATCCTGTGGCGGAGAAAAAGGAAAGAGTTGATCGTAGATGTTACAATCAATCCACTTGGGTTCACATTTTGAGAACTTTCGATTTTTACACCCCCCTAAAGCTCTACCAACAATTAACCTTTCATCATTTTAAAACCGCAATTGAATGCCATTGTCAAGGTTACTAGGGGGTGCCCATTACAGCGTGTCGGGCGGATCGCCCAACCCGGTGGCATGAAAAAGGATTCGGGGGATAGACCCGACCCGCCGATCCTTTTTTAAAATAGTTTTAGTAGAGGTTTTACCGGGTTCGCTACAGCATGTTGTGGTCATATGAGCACCAAGGGGTGGATGTCAACAGAAAAATCCTTACAGACTTACTCTGCTCACCTCTCTAGCTTCAACAACACAAAGTCGTGCTTCGACTATCAAGGCACCCCGGAAATAGCGGGTCACAAGAGTGTGACAAACATACAAAAGAAGTAGAGGAAAATGACAATAGCAAGGATAAGGAAAGAAAAAGAAGCAGTTCCCTGTTGTAGTTCAGGCACAGTTATGAGCATGACTTTGTTGGATCAGTCCATTTGCAATTCTACTGTGCATTAGAACGAAAAATGTCCCCCCTTTGGGAATGGCCTAAGGACACTTCAGGTATTACAATTACCTTGATTTTCAAGTTCCTAAAAGGTGGACACAGTTTAAAAAATTGGGTTTTTTTTTCTCCGACGTAAAATGTACACAAAAGAACTGAAGAGAATTGCTGGCGACACAGACGGCAGTTATTCACTTGGCATGGGGGAGCCTACCTCCTGACAGATATTTTTGAAAAGCCGTATTCACAGAGGGACGCAAACCATAAAATAATAATATGAGGCTTCATGAATTAATACACAAGCCAGGAGAAAACCCCCAAAGTTGCACTCATTCACGAAAGTGTATGAAGCTTTAAAATGTAAAAAATGGGACAGACACTATATTTACAAACTTAGAATTACAAAGTTCTATAATGACATTAATTTTTGACCGCTCGGAGTTATTAAGACCAAGAGGACAACAACCAATATAAACTATTATGTTCTATTAGCTCTATCAAAATCGTTAGACTATTCGGAGTCGTTATCAAGATATTTAAAAATTGCATTCGAAAAAGCTTGACAAAATTGTGCAACTGTAATACATTTTTTAGCTTCAAATTTCTCAAAACTAGGCGTTGAACAGATATAAATTTGTACATCGAATGTATCGACTTCTCTGTCAGAATTGGTCGCATTGACTAAACAAAAAGGCAAGTGTCTTCATAACTCCCATTTCTTTTTTTCCGCTTGAGAATTATATTCTCCTTTGAAAAAGCACTGCCATTGTTAAACAATGACGAACGAACTATTTTGACTATTACAAGACACTTTCTTTGTTTAATTGTTTGTTTGTTTGTTTGTTTGTTTGTTTGTTTGTTTGTTCTGTGACATCCAGGGAGTATAATAATTATAATGTGTTATTCAACTTCTATGTAATTCTTGCTCCGTTTCGTTCACTTACCAAAAGCCAGCCAAGTTTTTTTCAAACTGAGGTAGTAGCTGAAGTTGAGGGCAAATGCTTGAGAAAGACCATATTCCTCCGTGGCGTTGAGTTGTTTGAGCGTGTAGTATTCGTCGTAACTGTAGTAAGTAGCTGTAAAAGTAAATGATAACAATATGATGATGCATTTTATTTCAATGGCGTAAATTCAGTATGTTCTTCTAGGAGCATTATAATACACACACACACACACACACA